GGCTCATTTTTTTAAATGGCCGTAACTTGAAAAATTGAAGTCGGAATCGGCTCAAACTTTCTACACAGCATAAGTACATCAATATGTATCAGAAAATGTAATAAAAATTGGGGGTGATTCCGGAGCCATTTTTTGGAAAAAACCATGGGCTATAGTACAGGGATTTTTTCAGATTCTGGCTCATTTTTTTAAATGGCCGTAACTTGAAAAATTGAAGTCGGAATCGGCTCAAACTTTCTACACAGCATAAGTACATCAATATGTATCAGAAAATGTAATAAAAATTGGGGGTGATTCCGGAGCCATTTTTTGGAAAAAACCATGGGCTATAGTACAGGGATTTTTTCAAATTTTGGCCAATTTCTAAAAATGGCCGTAACTTGAAAAATTGAAGTCGGAATCAGCTCAAACTTTCTACACAGCATAAGGACATCAATACGTATCAGATAGAATTATAAAACTAGTATATGTGCTTTTAAAAATTTTCCAGTATCTCACCATTTATCACCAGATGGTCTCCGATCATAGGTTTGATTGTATAAATCCAGTTTCTTTTTATTTTTAACTTTGACAACAACACAAGCGATTATAATAATAATTAGCAATATCAGTGTAACCGTTAGGAACAAACCACCAGCTGTAGTGACACTAGCTATCAATAAAACATCTAAAAAAATAAAAGAATCAATAAATAATATATTTAAAATAAAAAACAACAATTTCGTTGTCCTCCTCCTCCTCCAGCTGTCGGTTCAATACTAGGATTACAATCAATCCCAATGTCGTCACTATGGGAACAGGAAGACTCCGCCCTATCGTCAACAATGACAGTGCAATTATCTTGAGTGGGCGGAGCACAGTTGATACTAATTGTCACAATATTATCAGTAGCAGCTGTGATATCAGGGACTAGTAATAAACGAGGAGCTACAAGAAATGATTAAATTAGATTAAAAAATTTTTATACCTGCCGTACTAAAAATATTCATTTTACGACAAATAATGTTTAATTTGTCAGCGTAATTGCCACGCCTACATACACTAGCCCAGGACAGGTCTATACAATACTCCAGCCTTCCCTTAGTTACCAGCTGCTGGGTTGTATTAGCAGGAGCAGCTGAAACCAGACGAAACTGACCATTAGTACAGGGGACTAGAAAGGAAATTCATCATTAATTATTATTATTATCATTATTATTTTTATTTATTTATTAATATTATTCTTATTGTTACTTTCTCTAAGACAGGCTACAGCTGCAAATCCACCATCGTCACAATTTGACCTCAAAGTCCCTAATCTCCTTCTGCCACACTCCAGTAATCTAGTCTCATTCCCTGTACACTGAACCTCATTCATCCACAACCGGTCATTAAGATTTTCATATTCAGCATCAATTCCTTTACCTCCCGTCCCTATAATTAAAGAAAGAAACAATATTGAACAGCGTCTTTATAATTAGAGGTATTATGGTTGTTATTGTTTTTCTTGCATTGGCAGGTGGCAGATGTTGATTAATAAAGATTATAAATATGCAATATTTGGAGCAGTGATGATTAGTTTGAAAAGTATAAACAATTTAAATCATTAGCAATTCACAATATGTACATACGTGCATATACCCTCTCTCTCTCTCCCCCTCTCTCTTTCCCCTCTCTTCTCCTCTTACATGTTAAAGAGAGTCCCAATTGCCTACAGATTACTTTAGCGTCGTTATTGTCCCAGTCCTCCGGACAAATATATCCCCAGGAGTTTCCGAAGCAAACACCAACTTTTTTGTATACTTTCTCTGAGCTGTTGGAGGATGGTAATAAAATA